GTGTGTGTGTGTGTGTGTGTGTGTGTGTGTGTGTGGGAAAAAAAAACCAATTTATGAAAAAAAGTCTTGTATTTTTCATAACATTTTGTAATTTGGATTTTCTAATTCTTATAGGTGGGATGATACTAATTTTTTCTGAATTAGTGACATTTTATAATATCATAAGTATAGCTTTAGTAGGAACAGTATTTTAATTCTAGCCCACATTTTAAAATTATAAGGTGTTGCGCACATTTCATAAGAGGGTTAGTTGAATTTTTCAAGTAACCACAATAGATTCTTTCTTAATCATTTTGGACAAGTGGAGTTTATGTTATTCAAAGACATCACCTTGAGGATTATCTGGAAGACCCCTGAGTGTAAACATTGACAATCACAGTTTTAGAGTAACAATATTATTTTTTCTTCCTCTTTAATAAGACAGATAAAATGGATTTTGGATTTATATATTTTTTGTTTGTTTGTTTAAATCCTTGGTTTAAAGTAAAATTCTATCTTCCTGACTACCTATTGTCTTTGAAATGATTTACATTGCCTAATATAGTGAATATTGAATAAGACATTAGTGCTTACTGCATTTAGTTCTTATTGAAAGACAAATATTTTCATTTTGGGGACAATGACATTCTAACGTGATGTCTTTTATAAGCTTTGCAAATACTCTAATGAACAGCAGGGGGAGGTCACACTCCAGTATGAAGGTAAAATACCTTCTAAATCCAAACCGCTTTTACAGAACACTGCTGTTTAAAATAAAACAGCACGTCATGCTATTTTTCAAAAAGCCTGAAAAGCTAGTGTCCTCCTCTCTTGCAGAGGTTGTTGCTATAATGTTGCCTGAAAAATGGTATTACTTTTTAATGGCACCTTTTGAATTTTCATGTGAAAGAAGTCTGCTGAGTTAAGTATTGTTCCACTCCCGGGGCTACATCTTTAAAAAATACAGCTACTTCTGATACAGTGGTAAATGTAATGACTGTAAATTCTCACATCTGAAATTAAACACTGAACATAGTGAGTAAATGAATGAAAAAGAAAGATGACACCATGGAGAGTTAGCATTAAAAAACACCCAGACCAGGCGTCAGCAAAATTTGACCTGCAGAGGTGGCCTACTGGCAGTTTTTGTAAAGAAAGTTATATGGGAAAACAGTCATGTTCATTCTTTTATTTATTATGGTTGCATTAGCAGAATGGCAAAGTTGAGAAATTGCAACATAGAGCTTGCTGAAAATAGTTTCTATATAGTCCTTTACAGAAAAAGTTCGCCACTCTTGGTCTAGAGATGTAATGAAGTCTTGGACAAGATATTTATTCTTCTCTCTTAAAAATTTGAAATCATGCATTGAAAAGATGGCTTCAAATTTTGTCAGTGAGAAAGACAAAAGACTATGGATTTTAAAATAGTGCCTCCAAGACAGACATTCAATCTGAAACTGAGAAATCAAATTAGAGAGAAAGAAAAATCAACATATAATTTTGATTTCCTTTAGTTACAAAAGTCATTGATACATTATTTTCTCCATCTGCTCAAAATTACAAAGACATCCAGTTCCTTTTTTTCTTTTCTTTTCTTTTCTTAACAAAGATAACAAATATAAAAATCTAGTCATAAACAGCCTTCAAAGAACAATTACAAACCAACTAGAAGAATCCACCTTTTAGAGGGTTAAGGGGTAGGGACTTCAACACTTAAATTACCGCCATGTTGTCAATTTCACAATGGCTGCAGTGATGAGGAAGAGTGTGTACAGCAGGTGTAATAGCTGATTTCATCTTGCTGCCATCCAAACTGAACTTTACTCTCTTCAGGATACAAGAACTTGCAAATGTCTTCATGACACTCTTGGCACAGATGTCTTCATCCCATATGAAAAGAGGCAGTTTATATGGCAATACTGGTTAAGTGCCTATCATGCTGCACTAATATAGTGCAAAAATGTGCCTTCCATATAGCAAAAAAGATGCAGGCAACCAGTTTGAAAATCAGGGAAAGTAGAAACATATTAACACAAGTAAATTAGTTTTCCAGACAATAACCACTATAAAATACTGAACTTGAGGACTCTTTCTTCTAAGACACTAGTACTTGTCCAGCATTCTTACTTTGGAGAGAGACAAGAATGGAGTCTTAAAAAAGAGTCCTTGTCTCTGAAATGCAGGTCAATAAAATCTACCATCGACCACCAAGATGCTGAATTTATTCAGTGGGTTTTCTGCTTAGCTTAGAGCTTGTTAGGCATTGTTAAAATTGCTTATTAACAAGTACATAATCTGACATAATGTGCATCAACACATGTTGTTAATTTATAGTATTGTGGAGATCTTGGTAGAAACTCGTCATGCTAGAAAGTTTTATGGATTAACACTGCAGACAGTCTTGTATCAGGCATTCTACCTGATCAATCCCACCATTATTTTTTAGAGATGAAGGTGGATTTTCGTTGGTAGACTTCAGAAAAGATGACATAAAACTTTCAGAATGCAGCATGTATTCAACTAAATCTCCTATAATTCTCACAGTTGATGTATGTAAGTGGTACTGTGTTGAATATCTCCAGTGGCAGTATGATTTTCACTCTTGACTTTATGACGCCCTTTTTAAAAATTGAAATGTATTTTAATCCACACAGTTTGGATCCGTGTGTTGTGGCCTCTGGACATCTACTATGAAGTCAGAAAGCCGAAACTGGTTGTTGCCAGGAGAAGTTATATGTTACATGTCAGCATCTCCATCATAGGCTAAGGTTAAAGGTTTCAGTCGGTTGTTTTGCCTTCGTTGGGGTTTCTTTGGCTTTTTGCTGCAGAACAAATAATTAAAATTGGGAGAAAGAAAATCAGTCTCTAATTGTAAATGTGACTGCTTTCAGTGAAAAAACATAAAAATAAATTGATAAATCAAAATTGCCTCGTTGGCTACACTGCCTAAAGTCCACCTTAGAATTTGATTTTCTGATCTCCCTGAATTTCAGTTTTATGCTTTGAATAAACTCTAAGTAAACTTCAAGTGTTTAACTATCCTGCAAAAGATAAATTATCCAAGTGGAATTATTTTAGTATTAACAACAGAAATAATATCATAGTCTAGTCATTTTCCTTTGGCAAGAAACCTTTATAAATAATACATAATTTATAAATAACACATGTTTTAAAAGATAGTTGAATATGATTAAGTATTACTATAATATCTTTCTCCATTAGAATTCAATATAAAAATCGACAGTTCACCATAACCAGTACAAAGCAATTCTCTTAAAAGTATGCAAGAGAATATGCTTGAGAAGATGACCTGCAGGAAGTTCTTGCTCGTCGTTAGATACGAAATGGCTCAGATTTGGTAGCTTTTAGCTCATCTAAGACGAAAGCCTTGTTTACTTGGAAATCATGTGAACATGAGATAAATGTAGAATACTGATTTGAGAAATTAGTTTGCTGTTTCTGTGTTATGATTAACTGAAAGTGTTTTCTCTGAAATAGAGACGTTATGTATCTCTTTGGATTTTTAAATATTTAAACACTCACCAAGCTAGATAAATCATGGAGACAATAAAGAGGAGTAACACAAATGCCCCAGCTGCTACACCGTAAACCCAGGTCTTTAGTCTCCCATCTAAGAAGAATGATATTAGTTATTAATTTACATTAGTCTGGTATACATGAGGCAGTCTTTAACTATGAACAGTGATCAATCATATATGACCAATTTCTTTCAAAACTCAAGAGAGTTATCGCTTCAACACAGTTAATGATTAATGCAAAGCTGCTGTTATGAGTTAGATACTGCTTCATTAAAGATAAGTTATCAAAGAAAACTGAATTGAAAAGTTATAAATAATGTTTAACTTCAGATTTCAAGTTTCTTTGTCTAAACTTCAGCTGCCTTTCATCTCAGTTTTACTTCAAACTCAATACATGTGTAATGCTATATAAACATTTTCTTCTGATTTTCAATCTATTTTGAGAATTGCAATCATAAGAAAAGATGGAAAATGCCATTTTTAGATAGTTCTACAACCTCGAGTTACTGTAGATAGGTATTTAGACAAAAGCTTCATCATTTTCATTCCAGGTAAAATGAAAGCGAATATATTCAACATCTTATAGAATTAATAATCTTTTATCTAATCTGCACTGACAGTGTGTTTTAAAATTGGCTTGACAATGTCATTTACAAAAGCAACTAGTTTGGTTAGCATCTAAAAGGATCTATAAATCATTTTTTTCCTTTTCTATTATATGGAATGAGACGTAACAGGAACTTTTGTAATTTGGGTTTCTGCTCTCATTTTCTTTGAACTCCTCAGTTTTATGCTCTGAATAAACTTCAAACAAAAGATGTTATTTATGACATGGCTAATTTAATTTTATCCTCACATCAACATATATTTTCTGTTGCAATTAAATATTTGATCTTAGTGTCAAAATTATAGATTAGGCAAAATTGACCTCATGTAAACTCTGGTTTATTCAATATTTGAAAGGCATCAAATGCAAATTGGTACTGTGGAATATTTTTGCCTGGAGCTAGATCAAGTGAGAGGTTCATTTGCTGGAAACAAACTAAATTAATATTCTAAATATCTTTTCTTTCTAATCCTAAAGATTTTTTTTTGATTTGAGCTGAGTTTAGAATCAAAAGAGCTGTTTCATGATTGAGCTTCTCTATGCTTTGAGTTTCTTCAACAAATGTTTTTTGGGTTTTTCAAAATCAAAGAATATCTAAGTATAAGTTTTCAGAACATGCACCTCTTAAATATATTATCATTTTCACTTTGGGGAAACTATATATAAAATTAAAAATAATGACAATAATATTTATTTTTTTCAAAAGGACTGATTTTGATGTGAGGAGATCTGCTTCATTTGTTAGTAAAGCTCAGAATTGCTACTGGTTATCTGCTAGTCTGTTGTCTTGAACACTGAGGGAAGAGCTTCCCATGCTTACACAGACAAGTCAGCTTTGCAAAATAAATCGTACTTTCAGCTAAAAAGCCAATTAAAGCAGGAATAATGTGATTAAAACCAAATCACCCAAACATTTAAAATATCCTAAAAATCCAATATTTATTCTCCAGTAAGGGAAAGTGTTCAGACTTAATGCATTAGCAGTGGAGACGTGCTAGCTGTGCAGATTCCTTCCGTCTTTTCTCATGCTTCTAATGGCATTTTTAAGTAGACTATGCCTGGTTCTGCCTAGAGAGTTCCTTTGCCTCATGGACTAGGAGTTCCTCCAGGGAGTGAGAAAAAGTGGCATGATACGAGCTGTTTTATAACCCATGTAGCACATTTTCAAGCGCTAGGTTAGTTCTAGGGATGAGCATATGATTAAATCCAACAGAGGAGAGAAAGTGTGCAGAGTAGAGAATAGCGTTTCATGAGGTTTTCAAGCGGTTGCCCATATTGGCTTTGCATTTATTACTAGATACATTAAAAGCTATCTGTTTAATGTGAAAAAAAATTGGGATCATCCCCATCCAGAAGGGAAGGCTCCATTATTGCCCCTGTGTATCTGGCACTTGTACAGATTCTCAGTATTTGAGTATGCTGACTTGTAGGGCTAATCCAAACTGATCTAGCTATCAAGTGTCCCCTGGCACAGAACTGCGTAACTCATGTTATGATCAAATTACAAATTCTGGAATGTCTTTATAGTCTCCTTTATCCTAATTCTGAATGACAACACATTTTTTAAAATTCATATTCCCATCTTTGTTCAATTTGAAATTACACTTGTAATTTTTGGACTGGAATTGAATTGAATCATATTGATACTAAAATTTTCTCAGAAGAGAGTAATTTCATTTCTCTGAACTTCAAACATAAGTTATTTTCCATAATGATAGTAAAAATTTGGGAATAGATGGCACTAACAGAATAAAGGCATGTAGATAAAATAATCAATAACTCATATAACAATGCTTGCTCACTCTTTTAATCCTTTGGCATTGCCTAAAGCATAACTAAAGGTTTCAACTTCAACACTAGTCTAGTCAGTTCACCTGGCCCAAATGGCTGTAGAAACCAGGTCCTTCCCCGTCCTGCTGGGTTACTGGAGGGTTGGGTTGGATGGACAGCCCGACTGGTTTTCACATCTCCTCTTTTGTCCTCCATGGTGGGTATTACCACCACGGGGATAAGTGTGCATTGCTCAAGGGTGCTGTTAGAAGACATGACTTCAGTGTACCCTTCTTCACAGTGGCATATTTTTGTCTGCAGGAGAACAAGCAGATTTATACTAGCCATGCAAGGAATCTTTGAAAGTCTAACAGACCTGACTTGAAGAGAAGGCTTTAAACAAGGACTTTTTTTTTTTTTGGGGGGGGGGGAATTACTATACGTAATTCCTGTAATATTTTTAGCTACATAAAAATACACTTTCGGTATTACATATAAATGTTTTCTCAGGGTGAAAGCAAGTGAATTCAGGACTTTTTAGATTGATAAAAGGAGGTGTCTAAAATGGGATTTTTATGCCTCAAGACATGCTTTCTTTGGAGGGAGATAAACTGCAAGAGACAGTGGGGTGGCAAATGATGGAGCTGGGTTGTCTGCCCTGATGAATTTACACATACCTCGCTACAATACGAGTGGGGTTGGCTACACGGCGGGTTACAAGACCTGTCGGCATCAGGCTGGCTCATCACCAAGCAACCCCCTGTAGAACAGAAAGTCATGTTTTGACAAATAATATATCTTGCTATGATGAAAATACACTGTTGTTAGTGACTTGTCTTTGAATCTTGAACTACTTTGGGAATCCCAGGAATTTTTCTGTCAGTGGTTGACTGTGAAATATTTGGTTAACCTTGAGCACCTGTAGTGACTCCAGGACCTTCTTACCCAGGGGAGGTAGCACAGTGCCTGCTTCTCAGCAGGTATTCAACAAGCATTTGTTGAAAGAATGATTCTATAGCTGCTATTTTGAAAATACTAATTGCACATAACCTTCTTCTGTCAGGAGCGCTTGAAGCTAAGTCCAGCAATTAAAAAGCTGATTTAATTTTTTTCTAAGGTTAAATTCTTTCTTGGAGATTCAGAACAATAGTTTTCATGTCCTTTGAAATAACTCTTTAGCTCTTTATGTTAAATAATTTTTTTAAAAAAATAACGCATTCTTCTTCTTGAGAAAATGACAATTTCTGCTAATTCAGGGTGTTTTTTTGATATAGAGAAGAAAACAAATGTATCTACTAAATCATTTGTTTTGAACTGTGGTTTTAACTTGATATTACAGCTGTTTATCTCTCTCTTGTTTATTTTCCAGTGTAGTACCAACTGTCCCTAAGTTGTTTCAAGTGAGGTTTTAAGATGGAAATAGAGGTCATAGAAAACATTGGTGATATGAAAGGAACTCATATATTCAAACTATACTTGTTCAGTTTAACAGAATTTTAGCAAAGCAAAATTTTTTCTTTATTGATAGAACTGATGGTCTTCAGGAATGTAATCACATGTGCCTATTGCTAATTCTCTGTGTTTCTCTCAATATTACAATCTCAAAATACAGAAAAATTATTACAGAAAAGCAGTTAGTCATTGCAAGGCAGTTGCAGTTAATTGGCCGTATTGAAGTTATTATCATTAAACAAATACATACACAAAAGGAAAGCAATATTTTGAGTTCCTTAAAAGGACAATTTATAAATTAAAGCAATTGATCAAGATAGATAATATACTTTACATGCTTGCCTATTTGTCATAAAGAATGTCATCTCTCCTAAAAGATGAAAGAAGAATGCATATAGAGTTTATCACAGATGATTTACACATTGGCTTTTTTGTACTGAATACCATTAGAAATAGTCCATTGGACACTTTGCTGAATTAAAAATACGATTTTACAGGTAAGTCTTTTAACGTTTGACTGACCTTTGCATTGGGGGAAGAGCCCCAAATGCAGTAGAAAAAGTTTTTAATATGTAGAAGAAAAGTCAGGCAAACATTATTTGCATCCATTATTGGAAAAAAATTTGCAAATTTATAGGATCATTTAGAGAAGTGGTTAAATTTTCTTTGAATAGTTTAAAAATGAATGGATACATTTATTGCCAATCTGTGAGCTGAATGGATAACTTCTATAACACCTCCTCATTCAGAAAACCCATCTGTCCCTGTCCAGGGCTCTTCTTACTCCATACTTCCTGGAGTGAGGGGGCTGAAGCAGATTTTTCTCCCAAAAAATAATACAGTGAGACAACAAAGGGTTTCTGTTAGATGTCTTTTATTTGTTATGTGTGTGACCACAGGGAGTTGTTATTAAGCGTTTCTTGATAGAGCTTTCTTATGTATAAAATCATATCTTCACAAGAAAAAAACTGATATCCTGATCTAGCTCCCATAAAGGAGGAAATTAGTAATTGGGTTTCAATGAATCCACGTAATTTAAAATTCAATATAAAAATGGATAGTTTTCAAAAAGCATATTGATCCTTGCTCCTTTTTCTTACTGTATATATTAAAGTTAAATTTATAAATGGACATTACCCAGAGGCATCCAAATACACACTCCTTATTTCCCCCCACAGCAATGTTAAAACACAGCAGCAAGTGAGCAGGTCTGCCTGAGCAGTTAACTGTCAAGATGCCTGCTGTTGCTGTACTATGGCAATTCCCATAAGTTGTTAGATTTATAAAAAGAATTGTTTATGGAAAGACATTAGATTTCTGGGTCCATGTGCCTGAAATTAAGCTTCTGGTTCTGACTTTCATTTATTTTTTAGGAAATGTGCTTGGTGGTTCACTATGTATCTTGAGCCAAAATCTCAATTCCTCCTTCAAGGGATCATTGGGATCCCTCATGTTTACAGGCTTCAGATAGGCATTTAGGAATTGCACACTATAGTAATTCTTTGGAGGTATATGTTGGTCGAAGTACAATTTAAAAAAGTTATTCCTTTGGAGTTCTTCTTTGGATATATAGTAATTTGGGGATGTGGGCACAGTAGGTGAGCTGCTCAGGTGGTCTGGGTTTGAAATTTACCAATAGGTCTTTCCAATTAATTAATTAAAAAATGTCTGAATCATAGGTTTCTGAATTCAAGCAAGATATTTGGATTTGTATAATCATACTCCCTTGGTGGTATTTTTGGTCTGCATTTATGTTTCCTTCAAGACACAGAAGCAGAAAGTAAAAAAAAAATTGATTATTTTTAAACGTGTAGGAAGTTACTCATATATAAAATTTCTAGAAAAGATAATTTGAAAAGTGTTTATTTATAATAATTATTAGAATTAGATTGTATTAAATGTTTCAGCAGCGGTACCTAAGAGGGCTAATTTGAACCATTATAAAACAAAATAATTTGTCACTGGTCATCAGATGGGTGTAGCCAGCTTAGGCAACCTGAATCCCTAACAGGCTTTGAATACTGAAAGAGTAACTTCGTTTCCTTAATTATTTTCTTCAACCAATCACATGTGTGTTACAGGAAGATTTTCAAAGAGAAACTGGAGGTTTACCTGTGACATTTATACCATCTGACCTTTGACACCACACTGTTCGGGAAGAGCCCTTCCAAGCACTGGCCATCCATTTATATTCATAGCACTGTCCATCTGCAGGGAAACAGTAAACATGAGCAAAAGCATTCTGTTACACAGAACAACAATCATGGGGATAGAGTACTAATAACATATTTATGAACAACTGAAAAGTGGTAAGAAGCCCATCTCTGATGATTCAAATGTCAATTTATTGTCAGTCCTGAAGCTACCAAGCATATGTTTTAAAATTGCAGCTATCCCAACTAATTTTCCGTGTCTGCTGTCACACTACCTGGTGGGAACCTAGGTTTTTAATTTAATTTAATTTTTAAAGAGTGTTATGAAATAAATATACAGTCAGACATGGAGAATAACTATATATATATATATAGAGAGAGAATACGTGGAGAATATATATAGAGAGTGTGTGTATATATGTATATGTAAATAACTATATATATAGAAAAAAATATATATATACTCTATAGATATATATAGAAAAATATATATTCTCTCTCTATATAGATATATATAGAGAGCTCTCTTTATAGATCTCTCTCTATATATCTATATATTCTCTGTATTCTCTCTATATGAAGAGAATAACCCTATATATCATACAATTTTAACAAATATTATTTATCCATATTTACTTCAGTTTTCATTAGTTTGTTGATGAATAAAACATGAGGTAGAATTGTATTCTTTCCTGCTCTGAACACCCTGTCTGTCCAGCAGCACCTACTATTCTGAAGTAGATGTATGACTTTGTTATGCTTTTAGTTATTTCACTGTATGCACACACACATAATTACTATCTACAGAAATGATATATGATATTTTTTGCAGTCATAAATTTAAAAAAGTATCCAATGTAGCATTCTGAAATGTAGTCAGTGTTACAGGTGAAATATTTCTAAGTGATTTTTAAAAATGTAGTACAGTTTATTTTAACTGTGACATAGAATTTCATTGTAATACATAACACAGTTTATTTAGCTATTTCTTCTATTAGGTTATTTTTAATTTTGTTATTCAAACAATACCTTGAACGTAAACCTTGTGCAAGTGTCCTGGTGCTTCTTTAAGTTAATATATCTAGAAGGGAAATTTCTGGGTATCACTGTATGGATAGCTAAGACTTTATTAAATATTGCTTTTTTTTTTTTTCCTGCAAAAGGTGACAGTTTACAAATCCATCAGCAGTGCATAAAGTTTACAATTCCTTTAAACACTCATGAAAATTTTTAATTGCTGGATTTAATTTTATTTTTGGTTAGCCTTTTGGGTATGGAAAGTTACCTTGTCATTTTAAATTAAAGCTCCTTGATTAATAAAGTTAATGAACAGTAACCTAAATGTTTTGGGACATGTCGATCTCCCATTATGCAAACTACTTATTTAAACCTTTGGCCTTCCCCCCCCCTCAACTACTGAAATCTATGTTTTTTTCTCATTGAATTGTAGAAATTCTTCCTTCTGGAACAGTGATTCTATTTTTTTTTTTTTTTTTTTTACATTTNTACATTTCTATTTTTTTCGTATTTTATTGTATTGTATTGTATTTGGGCTCTGGGGTACATGTGCACATCCTGTATCCTGCAGGGTTGTTGCTTAGGTACATACATGCCATGGTGATTTGCTGTCTCCATCTCCCACTCCCCCGTTGCCTACATCAGGCATTTCTCCCAGTGTTATCCCTCCCCATCCTCCCCTCCCCAACTTGCTGTTCCTTCCCTCCCCTCCCCCCACCCCCCCAATCTAGCCCTGTGACTGTTGTTCCCTTCTCTCTGCCCAAGTGTTCTCATTGTTCATTACCCGCCTGTGAGTGAAAATATGCTGTGTTTGGTTTTCTGTTCTTTTGTCAGTTTGCTGAGAATGATGGTTTCTAGATTCATCCATGTCTCTACAAAGGACATGAATTTGTCATTTTTTATGGCTGCATAGTATTCCATGGTGTATATATGCCACATTTTTTTTGTCCAGTCAGTCACTGATGGGCATTTGGGTTGGTTCCAGGTCTTTGCTATCGTAAACAGCACCGCAGCGAGCATACGTGTGCATGTGTCTTTATAATAGAGTGATTTGTAATCCTTTGGATAGATACCCAGTAATGGGATTGCTGGGTCAAATGGAATTTCTATTTCTAGGTCCTTGAGGAATCGCTGTCTTCCACAATAGTTGAACTAATTTACACTCCCACCAACAGTGTAAAAGTGTTCCTATTTCTCCACATCCTCTCCAGCATCTGTTGTCTCCAGCTTTTTTAATGATCGTTATTCTAACTGGCTTGAGATGGTATCTCAGTGTGATTTTGATTTGTATTTTTCTAATGACCAATAATGGTGAACATTTTTTCATATGTTTGTTGGCCACATATTTGTCTTCTTTTGACAAGCATCTGTTTATATCCTTCAACCACTTTTGAATGGGTTTGTTTTTCTTGTAAATCTGTTTTAGTTCTCTGTAGATTCTGTATATTAGCCCTTTGTCAGATGGGTAGATTGCAAAAGTTTTTTCCCATTCTATTGGTTGCTGGTTTACTCTAATTATTGTCTCTTTTGCTGTGTAGAAGCTCTTAAGTTTAATTAGATCCATTTGTCTATTTTGGCTTTTGTTGACATTGCTTTTGGTGTTTTAGTCATGAAGTCCTTGCCTGTGCCTATATCCTGAATGGTGTGGCCTCGGTTTACTTCTAGGGTTTTTATGGTGTTAGTTCTTATGTTTACATCTTTAATCCATCTGGAGCTAATTTTTGTATAAGATGTAAGGAAGGGGTCCAGTTTCTGCTTTCTGCACATTGCTAGCCAGTTTTCCCTACACCATTTATTATTAGGTCTGCTTTGTCTAGATCTGAGTTCAAGTCCTGGATATCCTTGTTGACTTTCTGTCTTGTTGATATGTGCAGTATTCTCAGTGGAGTGTTAAAGTCTCCCACTATTACTGTGCAGGAGTCTAAGTCTCTTTGCAGGTCATTAA